AAAAGTTGCAGAGTTCTGCCAGGACCTTTGCATGATGTGGCACACGATACAGCATAATGCGCTCCGAATATTAAGAACTATTGTTTTTATCAAGAACATCTTCGCCAGCCAAGGTTCATCTATTCGGCCGTCGCTCCACGTTCATAGAGGCGGCCATGGAAGACCGGCTTTAACGAAACCGTTCGAATCGGGCGAAATATCCTGAGTTAATGTGAAAATAATTATTTAGATTTCAGCGTTAAACAACGGGTGGAATTAAGTTAAACACAACCTGTGGGTCATTTAAACACGTGGGTTTTTACGTTTTTGTATGTACTCTTAAATAATCAGTGTATATTTCGAGCTCCCGTGTTCCTGTCTTCAAATGACGTGTAAATCTAGTATTATTTATCTCGTTATATCGTTTATTTGATACTTTACTCAACAAAATACACACAATTGATTCACCTGTTATCAGAAACACAATGCACTATGTAATTGACTATTTATCTCAATATTACGAGATTCACTGACAGGAAGAGACTACAACAAACATTTACACAAACCCGTCATGCGCACATGGCGGGGCAAGTACGGTGGGTCATCCAAACGAAATGCATTTTTCTCGCGTGAATTATAATTGCTACAACGCGGAATTTAAACATGATTTCGGGAGGATTAACAGTGTCACTCACTTGACCGCATACAATTCTTCCTGAAACCGGGGTACACAGTCGTTAAATGCGATGCTGCAGAAAAGAAACGTAAAAGTATTCCATAAAATAAACGGGTTGTGGGGGTTTTAATGTCACGTGGTATCTTTTGTCCGAGAACGTCCTGATTATCCACCATTTTGTCGTCCTCGTTCGTAGTTGATTTTTATAAAACAAATAAAAGAAATCCTGCATTCATTTGATGTAATGTCAATTGCACAGTGTCTTTAATAACACCAAGTGTTTGCAGGTAAATGTTTAACTTATAGTGCCGCGAACTCCTGAAAATGTCAAGTGGCCGTGTACAGCTGCGATGTGTCATACACAAACTTGTGATCATGCACTTGAAACCCGAAAATCATCTATTGTCATTGGGTGATTTTCAAATATTCGTAAACTAACTTCATGTTGTCTTTGACCAACATATATGCCGTTTATCGTCCAGCATTCAAACGCCAGAAAAGTTATTAATTTGATTTAACATTTGATGCAGTTTAACTATAATTTTGTTGTCGCTATATTATAACTGTCTAACTAGTGTATATGTTTCTCTACCTATACTTTCGTTTATTTAAATAATAAAATAAAATTAATAATCAATCCACGTACAGAATACGTACAGTTTTAACATTTTTGCGTCGTACCAAAGAAAACCAGCACTTATAGACAGTCTGGCGTGTTCGTATTTATATAGTTTAAGCTCGTTTAAGATTATGTAGAGCTTACGCCCGTTTAAGATGTTCTCGGTTCGAGTAACCGTCAAAATCACACGGAAGACTCCTTGCGCATCACCATATACACAGTAGCATATTGTATCTATATTTAGCTAACCATATCTGTCGAATCTCGCAACAGGCCATTAATTCTATGTGACAGTCTTGAATGTCATGCATTAATGTATATCATCGTATACGTACACGCCATATAGTATAAATGGGTGTATTGAGATCTGCGAATACTAAGTAATAATTTGTACAGTCGCTGTGTTATGTGTGTCTTGTTTGTAGTTTATGGTGGGACGACTTGGGAAACACCTGTTAAATCGTAGATTGCATATTAGGCATAATGCAAGTAGATGTTCTGGGGTAGGTCACTGTGCATTGGAATATTTTCATAAATCTGAAGATGCCGGTCTGCACGAATTGATGAAATCCTTAGAAATACATTATTTACACAATTCTTATAAATAGACTACATTTAATGCCATCTTTATCTTAACGGTTATTTTTAGCCTAATGCGAAGGAACAGTTCGATGCGTAATGTCGGCGGGTTGGTTTGTGATAAGAACGAATTGTATGCTCCTGCCCTATACCCCCACCCCACCAAAGTTAAGTGATGATATTTCGCACGTTATGTGTTAGCCATTATGAACTTCGGGGAGGAAAAACTACTGTGCAAATCATTTATTTCCTTCACCTAGTTTTGGGCTACATCTTTATAAATATATATATGTCGATTTTTATTTCTGAGCCGATTGTTTTTGTAAAATTCCACCATCCAGTCTTTATAATGACCATTCCCTCATTGAAATTCAGTCGCCTGACAAGATATGTGAAATCAGTAAAAAACATACAAACACGTAACGCGGAAACTGATATACACGAGGCCCGAGCCATGGATATGTTTTTATATTATTATCTAGTTTTGACTGCTTCGAATTGTCCCTCCATCTAGTTTGGACACGTCTTTTCGTGTTGGTCTCGGCTATAGACAAAAGCAGGGGACAACAATAGACACTGATGGGCTTCTATCGTAACAATGTAATGTTTTTCCAGTTTAACAACATAAAGAAAAACAATTACAATACGTTCTTGACATGGTTCTGAATACTGAACAGCTAGTGGAGGTCGCTCGTCGAAAACAATAGCCGTGTATCATATCGAAGCTAGTCAGCCAACATGGCCATGTTGATTACTAGTATATAAGAGTGGTCGCCAAACAACAATCTGTTTATCAAAGTTCTAATTTGAATAATTACTGAATATTCCGCCATAATCCTTATATTATGACTAGGTTATTTCGATTAGAAGTTCATTTTGATTGGTTGTTGATTATGGGACATAGCTGGTCGTGTGAAATTGATTTGTGACGCTTTAGTTTATTTTCTGGTGATTCTATTGGTGGATATTGCGTTGGTTTGAGGCGTCTTCAGAAATCATCCGTAACGAGAGACCTATATACGTGTCCGTTGTCGGTATGGCGCCGACCTTCAAACTGACGCCGTGACGTGGGTCCATCTTTAGGCTACTGCATAGGATCCATCCAATTTTAGTTATGCTTAGCCCTTCCCCACAAACAATTGTTTTTTACTCGGGGAATGTACAAGTTACTGGCATTCTTTTCGTCGGAATGTGCCATTGACAAGGGAAAAGATACAGTTACGGCACAGTTGCCGTTGTCACTCGGAAGGATTGAAAGCGATTTTAGTAATTACGTCGAGTTATTTCCATCTGTTTTATGTTGTTGACTGAATAAAAAGACTCATGTTCGTAACTTGAATGTGGTCGGCACAATCTGTGTCAATTTCAGATTGTGTGAATAGGCTTATTTTGCCACTATAAAGCGATCCCCGACAAGAAAAACTAGTTATTAATATCTAGGCACGTGAGTTTCCGTCACAATGATCCTTAAGTTGGACCAACTGTTTCGGATTGCCAGGGGTGTGGACAGCAGGTCAATAATTGATTGTACGAAAAGATGGGTTACCTGAGATTACAATGTTATTAATTGCCAGTATAAATCATAATATAAATCATAAATATAATTCTTGCCGGGAGACACTCTTTTCGTGATATTATAAAAGTAGTTTGAAAAGAAGATCTTCATTTTCAGAATTGTTAATATAAATTGTATTTTTTTTTCAGAACCTCTGATTTACGTGTTTACATCATAATCTATAAAAAAAAGATGAAAGATTATTAAATCGATGTTTTTGAATTCAGCCATACTTTCGACGATCGAGTGTATGCTCGCTCATGGAGAACGTGTATTGTCAAGTTGAAACTCTGACTTGAACCACGCCCCCAACATAAATCTGTAGTGGAAGAAATTGCCTTCTGTCAGTGGACAACAATAACTACTTTTCGTTTCAAGACGTCTTGGTGATTTACAACCAAGACCCCTGTTGCAATTTAGTATGCTAAGGTCGCGGTTCGGCGTTTTACGTGCGCGTTTATTTATTTGTTCTTCTTCTCGGTGTTTCATATGGCATCGGACCGTAAAAAAACAACCACGACGACAAAAACTTGAACAGTCGAAATATATTCCAAAAAAGATTTTCAGATGGAAGGCTGTTTGTTGGTGTGTTGACATTTAGTGAAATTAAACATGCTTAGAACAGTGTGCTTGTTTCCAGTTATTGGCGGTTTCAGGCAAATCGCCCCGGATTTATGCAAATTTTGCCACGCCCGTGTGGAATCAACACCAGTGCCCGATTGACCGGGCATACCACTGTGGGTGGAAATTGAGACCAAACGTACTGTTATCGTCATTTTTATGTAATTAAAAAAGGATTCGAGATGCACGTTGAAGGCATTAATTCAACCCTCCTTGTCTTTCCACCTTTCATCCTCAACTTCCAGTTCGTGCAGAAGAATTATTATCGACGGTAGCGCGAAAAATGTAATTATAATGCTACTATTATGATTTCGAGATAGTATGAATCATTACAATTTCCCCTGACCCTTCAAAACAGTGTCATCAATTTTATCCATACTTTTTTTAACAATCTAGCGGAAATTATATTATGTGATTTAATTTCCCGTCCAAGTACCTTTTTATTCACACAAGTCAGAACGAACGTACGCAAACGATAAGAAATAAACTGATTTTTAAATGTACGTCTATGTGAAGAACTGTTTTTTCTCGTGTTCTCGCATAGATAATTTATTTGACAGTTTGATACATTTGATCTTCCAGTGTCCCTTTAATCTATTATGCCATTGTCAAATCGAAATACCAAACCCTCTTGCCATTGAGGTCTTGGCTTGAGTGAAGGAATCTGACTTGGGAGCGTCCATTTTAGTTACAGGTTTCAAGAAATACAAGCGCGGCGGGGACGCAGAACTTAGTTCAATATCACAGTACCGCCTTAAGTTACAATAACCATAAAATTGTCAGAAGCGGCAATTAAAGTTAGTGTTTAATATAAACAGTGAGCGGAACGTTTTTTATGTGACGTATTTGGAGGGTTTAAACTCAAGACACTCGACCTTTGACGAATGGACTCCCCTAATTTTTGAAATTCCTTCGTTGCGCATGCGTTCTTATCGCACGTGTTAATAAACAAATTTCACTGTCTTCGAAGAGTAGTGTTCAGTGAGCAGCGTCGTCAGTGATCGGTAGTCAGTAACTAACTTACTCGGGCTGTATGCTCGCTTAGTTAACACACATTTTTTTTTACTCAGGGGTGTTTTACTTCAAGCCTTAATCAGACACAATGACAACAACAATAATAATGCCGGAGAAGGAGAAGATTGAAAGTACGCCGGAGTATTTGGCCCAACTTTTGAAAGACAAGAAGACCATTGCAACGATGCCAAGTCTATTCCAGCACGCTGAGCGGTTACTCGATGATGGTACGTACCGAGAGGCCCATAGGCCGATTTGTATGTCTGGTGTTCTTGTGAATTCTTAGCTAGGACCTTGAACAGTCTTCTGGCACGTTTATTGTGTCATAAACGAAGCCTACATTAAGGGTGGTCGGTCTAGTATAAATCAGGTCCCGGTGTATACACTCGAGTTCCGGGACATGTTAGCAGCGACGTTTGTTAGGTCTGTACAATGGATGAAAGTTTACGAATTGAAGTGTTGCGATTGATCGAAAACGTGGCCCCTAACCATTGTAAACATACTTATTTCACGATCGTTGAAGCGGTACCCGTCGGATTGTAGTCGTAAATACCCACTTTACTTCCGTTTAGTGCTATTTCCTACAAGACTCGTCGCAAGTAGCGACATTCCTATACTTGTATCTGATGTTCGCTGGCAAAGGCCAACAGTCGGCACACTCTCACGCATTTAGTTTAGAAAGGTCATCTGTAAAACGACGTTCAAAACTACTTTGACGTGACTGCTAGCCCGCGGCTTGGATGGAATTACACATAGTTTTAAGATTAATATGAATGAGATGATCAAAAAAGGGTTACTGTGTTAAATTTCAAGAATTTTTTCAAGGCAGTATTTTGCTTTCTTGAAATTTGACGTAGGTCGTCTTTGAAGTACACTAAAACTCTGAAAACTAGCGTAACTGACGTTTTTCAATCATGTCAGTCGTTGTGGTGAAATTTATTTTGGATCTGATAGCAATTCATTCAAAATTACGTTAATTACTGTCTATGACGGTTATCGATCTTCCAGACAACGAAAATTTGATGTTTGACAAGCGAGCTGACCTAAACAGCCTTTCTACTTCCTGTGGTGTGTTATTTAGACAGCGCCCTACAACAGGCCTCTCTCTGGCTCTGGCAGCTCGATCGTTTCCCCCTAAACCAGCCCCATTCTCTGTTCAATTTTGATATTGAGACGGTGGTCGTTTGGTTGACGATGTCAGTAGGGTGCAACCAATCGTGCTGGCTGTCTGTCTCAGTCATCGCCTGTTTTTTTATAGGGGTCCTGTGACCTCGATCAGTCCCGAACAGCGAGTTCCTGTCATTTTAACAGTATACACATCAGTTGGATTGGATGTGTATCTAATGTATGCTGACAAGTTTATAATTTGAGATGCTAATATTTGCAGATCGAAACTGATCACAAGAAATGTGTTTGTATAAATTGCTGGTATGTTTTAATGCATTTTAAGATTAGTGCTATTTTGATAATGCAAATTAATGGTAAAGAAAATATAAAAATAGCAATTTATTTTTTTAAGACGTTGGTTTGTGTGGGATCTCATTACGACAGCATTATATTTTAAATTGCAAACTACAATCCGATAAGCCACCTTGTCAGCTGAACAGTTTCAAAGATAGCAATAAAAAAACGCTAAGAACTTAATCCTAAAATTTATTAAAACTGAAGAGATTTACGATGACTGTCGGCATATAGAGGCAATTGTGAATTGCAGGTTGGTTATTATCTTGTTAAAGAATACCTTTCTCTAATGTTCTCCCCATAAACTCTGCCACAGTACGGTTTGATTGTCTAAATTCAATGGTCTAGCATTCACACTGGTCAGCCATGCATGCTTGCTTGTTGACTGTTTTTGTTTTCTTGCTACCTGTTTTGCATGCCTGGTTACTGTGAATACATTTGGCCCTGGGGCAGTGTCATCTTATTTAGCAACTTGCTGACTGGGTTTCCACGGTAATTTGTGTCCTAAAATTCTTGGATTAATGATGTGTTACCAATTTCCCAGGGTCGAGGAATAAATTAAGAAAAAAAAAACTTGTCCATTGTAAAACAAACTGATAACTGCCCCTTTCTTTAATTATTAGTTAGTGGTTTTGATGTTGTGTATGGTGTCGTTGACGCTGCTATTGTGTCCAACTGGAAGGTTTATCAATATACTCATAGCTTATAAGCTTGTAACATTTCCCACTGACAGTCATGTACTGTATATTCGCCACCCAACCCTTTTGGCCGGCTTGTAAAGATGTACATAGTGGGTGTTAGGGAATTTTTGAAGATGATTACTTTGTTAGGTGTTTGTTACATTGAACTGACAGTTGTTTAGTTTGGACTGTCAAAATCAGCTGTTCTGGAGGCGCAATTCAAGTTGTTTGTCAGGAAGCAACAAAGCAGATTCATACCATTACCAATGAAAAGGTCAGTGCTGTTCCTGACTGCACTGTAATTTTCGCCTGGGGAGCGAGTGGCTAATGCTTCTAGTTCATTTGAATTTGTTGGTATGCCACTTTTGTTCCATTTGCCCAGCACACATGTAGAAATACATGTAGGGTGTTGATATCATGAATCTTAAAAACAAGTCTTTGCCAATATTTACATTGGGTATCCAGCATGTCATCTTTGCATTTGAGTCAAACATGGTTTTCTTTTTCTATTTTACCAAGGACAAATGATTTTTCAAAAAATATATGAAAAATATATATATAAAAAAAACAAAAAAATTCTTGCCCTGCTACTCAATTTGCTTGCTAAAATCTACACAAAGTTAAGGTACCGTATTTGTCCCATTAGACTCGCATCTCCAATACTAGCATGCATAATGTAAAATTTTTCATTTTCGCTTGGAGTTTACTTTTAATGAAAGTGATTCCAAAAAAAATAAAATCCAGCAAATGTACTTTATTCCCATATTTTACAATCGACTCGTAAAAAAACAGTGAAAATAAATTCTGTACACAAAACAGCCAAAAAGTCTTTTCAGCAAAAATTACTTCCAGCTAGAATATTTTAATAAGTATTTTAAAATACACCAAGGATGGCCATTTATTATGCGCTTAATCATTAAAATATGAATTATTTTCACCATAGATATAAATGCACCGTATTTGCTCTATTAGTAGCACATAAATTCAGGTAAATAACAAAAGTACGGTAGCAGCTAAACTTTACTTCAGCCATAGATGCTTTAGCTTGCTGGTAGACAGAAACAAATGAACATTGCTGGAGGAGGGAGGTCAGAACCTTTTTGGAAAAGCTAAAACTGAACAGTTAAAGGCTGTTCCTTTTGATGCTTCTGAGGTCAAGATTTTCAGGTCACCGGGATGCATTCGCTGGTTAGACATCACAAGATGGCCGATTCTGAAACTTTTCAAACAAAGATCCAGATAGACGTGTTTTTATGACTTTTGCAATTTCAATAATTTTATAAAAACCCTTAATAACCCTAAATAATTTGTGTCACGATGTAAATTGCTCCAACTATCGAATATTCTTGTAATTTACTTGATGAGTCATGGATTTATTTTCCAGCACGCAATGTCATTTGGATCATCGGCAGCATTGCGCTGTTTGCTCTGCTCAATCTTACTATTATACAAAATGTCTGTATTGTAATTCAATTATTCATAATTTTTACGTTTGAGTTCTACTAAGGCACTTACGGCCCCATACAAAGACCCAGACAATAAAATTAATTGTGCGCTGATTTCGTTTGCTAACTACAGACAGCATGCTGGTCTATTGAACATTCAGTGCATCACGAATTATATACGATGAGTACGGACCTGAAGTTAGTAGTGTTATAAATTGTGTACAACCAATAATTGCTATCGATGTTTGTGCAATATTTCTTGTCCATCCACTCTTGAGCCTCCATCAGTGTATTATATTTGCTATGACTATCAGCGAAATCTATATGCTTATCATGAAAAGTTATTCACTTATTTGGAAATGAGCATGTGCTCAAAATCAAAACCTTTTTTTACTAATTGTTAGTTTTTTTCCTGAAAAAAAGTATTTCACTGCATCTCCTCATTTATTTGTATATGACTTTACCCACAATGCATTATTGTTGCTTTTTATGGCATACATGCTGAAAGTGAAATATTCTGATACCTAGAAGTTTAAACCTTTTTATTTTTATATACCAATGAATTCAGTCAACGTAAAAAGATTGATTGAGAAAAGGTATCACTCAGTTTTGAGTCTCGTTTTTCAACATTGTGTACTGTTCATTGCAACATCACGCTCGTTTTGCTATGCTTTATACTTTCGTGCGCCGACTGATATTTAAATTGTAGATCCTTGATGTGATAATATTTTAAGTTAGAAATCCTCTTTAGCATTGCCATAGAAACTTGTGTGAAGGCAGGTATGACAAATGATTGAAATGAAAATTTTAGAGAAAGTAGGTCGTGTAAGTAAATGTCCTGTATCATAAATTATTGAGATTCTCGCTGGCCAGAAGTCCATGATCGGATGGGTAGCAGGTGATAGCAAATTACCACTCTACCATAATGATTATTTAATAGATATTAAAATTTTACCATCTAAAAATCTAATTGCTTATACCTGGTAATATAATATATATATATAGCAAGATGAATTTTTATTAAATTAACATGTTCCCAGTGACTTGGTCTCAGTACACTTGTGTTTTTTTGTCCATTTCACACATTATTATGTAGGAAATTATTATTAATTAATTAGGTAGTGCCTGAGATTAAATATATTTGTCGGTAATTAGTCGAATGTAATAAACGTACCTTGTCATATATTTCACTAATTAACGAGGGACTAAATCTAATGAATTGTTATGCATTTGAAATTAAAAAAAAAAATGTCAGTGAGAAGGTTTATTGATTGAGTTTGTTTTAATAATTATGTATCTTATAGAGTGAGTGATTACTCCCACTGGAGTTATAAATTTACATTGGACATTTATAAATTTCATAGTTTGCGTTCATTTTTACTACAGTATTTTTTTTTTTTCAAAGACAAAATAAATTGCAATTATTTCAAGTTTTAAAATCTTTCGCAATTATCGTTTTTGAAGATTACTGTGAAATAGTGTTTTTTTTTTCAATACATTCTGCACTAGTTACATTAGCTCTGCTTTAAAGAGTCGGTGTAATTTACTCTTTTGCTGAATTAGTGAAAATACAAGGAAGCAATCAGCTAGTACATCATGCTTGCTAAAAATACGCATTTCAAGTTACTTTATGCATTCAAG